CAAGAGTTTTTTATTCAGCTGCCTTTATACACTTTGTTCCATCGACATGGATCCAAACTTTGGTCCCATTAAAGGAAAACTATTCGTCCCTTTGTGTTTCCCACATGTCTATCCTGCATGTGACAATAGATGTCAACCAACCAATGTGTTGTGGTCTCGACCTATGTATGGACGCAACAAGCTCAATGTGCATGGCTCTTTCCTAAATGGTGCAGTAGAGGCTGGTATGGTGCTTAGAGATCATGAAGGTGCAGTTGTTCTCAATGTGTGCCGGCAAATCTTTTGATGCAATGACGCCCTGGAATTTGAGCTTCTTGCACTCCATGCAAGTTTATCTTTGGCACTTCAATGGTGTTCCCTACCATCTGATGTTGAATGTGGTTGTCTTGAGGCAGTCATGATGATCAAGAGTAGAGAAGGCAACAATACGAAGTATGCTTTTTTGGTCGAGGAAATCAAGAGAAGCATGGATGAATGTGATTCTTGTATTACTCATATTCGCCGTAGTCAAAATAAGTCTAGTCATTTTATGGCAAACTTCGGGAGATCCCAACGCCGAACTGTTGTTTGGCTTGGATCAGGCCCTCTCTGCGCTTTAGAAGTCTTTGAAGTTGATTGTAAAAATTGAGTGTTTGGAGTAGTACAAGAATTTATTCACACAAAAAAGATTGTCAAGAAAAGTCACTAGAGAAATTTTGCGGTGTCGAGGTTTGGCCTTCTTGTGTGAAGTTGGATACTTTCAACCGATGAAAAAAAATCCCTTGTTTGGTTTCAGGAGGTTCGCTAGCTTACCTGAAAGTAAGGATCGAACTACTGTTTTTTTTTTTTTGCGAGAAAATTCCCGATCTATTCATTTTTGATCATGACAGTACAACGAATATCAGAAATAATAGAAATTACATCAAGATCCGTAGACCACCTAGCGGCGACTACCAGCACTGAAAGCGAGCCGAAGGCGCGCCACCGTCATCGCCCCTCCATCACCGCAGTCGGGCACAACTTGCTGTAGCACACAATCGGGAAATCGTCGTGTTAAGGCCCCGTAGGACCAGCGCACCAGAACAGCAACTGGTTTTACATGAAGAATTTAAAATGCAATCTTCTACTACTAAAGTTTACGTTTCATGTTGCACAATAAAATTTTGGGTAGTCAAGTATTGTGATTTTCTCAAATAACAAGCATACGCTAGTATTGCATTGCGCACAGGCACAAACATGGCGAGTATCAAGCTCACCATCACGTTCTCAGGAAGGTCTTCGAGGTGGAGAGAGTATAGCCCCATCTACCATGTGGAAATACCATCGGGTGGAGCAGATGTATGAGAAATAGACGTGACGCTGCTCAAGTTTGAGAACAAGGTTGCATCTGGATGCAAGGGCGACCAAGTCCAAGTTCCGGTTTGTGTTAGCGTCGTGAAGTGAAAACAATTGAAACGTACAATCTGTTCCAAAACATTGCCATTATGAATGTTAATTAATCTTACATAAAATATTGGCATTTTCAATGTTAAAACAGCTGAAATCTGGGAGTAGCACAAAATATTGCCCAAGAAGTGCGTGGGAATAACTAGCAAGTACGTATAACTAGCAAGAACCTGGCTGATGGCGCAATCACAGGTCATACCATATACCGACTTGCCCCATTCGTCTCCCCATTAATCAACTTACCATTTTAATCGTACGCCAATTCCCCTATTAATACTCTGCATAGCAGCAGCAGCAGCTACACACCATTGGCAAAGCAATCCCGCAGTTGAGTCAGCAGTTCAGCACACAATGCCTGGGACGACGACCTCCCGCGCTCTCCTGCTCGTTGGCGTCGTCCTGACGGCGCACGTGTTCTTGTGCACGGCGTACGTCGGCGGCGATGGGTTCAGCGTGGAGTTCATCCACCGTGACTCCGTCAAGTCGCCGTACCGTGACCCGTCGCTCACCGCGCCCGCCCGCGTTCTCGAGGCCGCGCGCCGCTCCACATCGCGCGCCGCTGCGCTCTCGCGTTCCTACGGCCGCGCCGACGCACCGTCAGCCGACGGCGCCGTCTCCGAGCTCACCTCCAGGCCCTTCGAGTACCTGATGGCCGTGAACGTGGGCACGCCGCCCACCCGCATGCTCGCCATCGCCGACACCGGCAGCGACCTCATCTGGCTCAACTGCAGCAGCGGAGCCGGCGCTCCTGGTCTCGCGGCAGCCTACCACGCCCATGCGCCCGCTCCCGCTCGCGCCCCCGCGCCCTCGTCCGCGCCGCCGCCGGGCGTCCAGTTCAACTCCTCCAATTCGACGACGTTCAGTCTCGTGAGCTGCGGCTCCAGCGCATGCCGCGCGCTCCCCGATGCCTCCTGCCCCGACTCCAAGTGCAGGTATCTCTACTCCTACGGCGACGGCTCCCAGACGAGCGGCCTCCTCTCCACGGAGACCTTCACCTTCGCCGACGACCAAGGCACCCGCGGCGATGGGAAGATACGCGTGGCCAACGTCAACTTCGGCTGCTCCACGACCATGATCGGCTCGTTCATCGGGGACGGCCTTGTCGGGCTCGGCGGCGGCGACCTCTCCCTCGTCAATCAGTTAGGCGCAGACACATCGCTCGGCCGGAGGTTCTCCTACTGCCTCGTGCCCTACTCCATCAACGCCTCCTCCGTGCTCAACTTCGGCCCCCGTGCCACCGTGACGGAGCCTGGCGCGGCGACGACACCGCTGATCCCATCTGAAGTGAAGGCCTACTACACCGTCGATCTCCAGTCCGTCAAGATCGGGAACAAGACCTTCGCGGCGCCGCAGGAGTCCCCCGTCATCGTCGACTCCGGCACGACGCTGACGTACCTGGCGAACGAGCTTCTGGACCCATTGGTGGGAGAGCTGACCCGGAGGGTCAAGCTCCCGCCGGCGAAGTCGCCGGAAGAGCTCCTGCCACTGTGCTTCGACGTGAGCGGGGTACGGAAGGGGCGGGTGGCGGCGATGATCCCTGACGTGACGCTGGGGCTGGGCGGCGGCGCGACGGTCACGCTGAAGGCGGAGAACACGTTCGTGGAGGTGCAGGAGGGGACTGTGTGCTTGGCGGTGGCGGCGGCGTCTGAGCAGTCTACGCCTGTGTCTATCATCGGGAATATCGCGCAGCAGAACATGCACGTCGGCTATGACCTCGACAAGGGCACCGTGACCTTCGCCGCAGCAGACTGCGCCAGGTCCTCCGCAGCCCCCTCCCCCTCCGGCTCTCTGCATATCTAATCAGCATCACTAGTTGGCATTTTTAGACAAGGGGAGATTTATTATTTGCTTGCGATCGCATGCATCTGCAAAATATATAAAACATTACGAGAAATGAGATTCTATCATGCACGGAAATCTACTGTTCATGGTTACTATATATGAGATTCATGCTACTTTTTTTTGTTGTGTTGTCCAAATCTGTCATGTTTCAAAGTGTTACATCAGGTTTCTCTCTGGTTCCAAGGTGAATCATAATGTTTTGTTGTGTACCATGGTGTATCATCAAACTAATCTGAAGCGAGTGCATTATTTTTTGACATATTTGCTTGCGATCGCATGCATCTGCAAAATATATAAAAACATTACAAGAAATGAGATTCATGCTACCTTTCTTTTGTTGTTGTCAAAATTTGTCATGTTTCGAAGTGAATCATAATGCTTTTCTCTCGTTCCAAAGTGAATCACAATGTTTCCTTGTGTATCATCAAACTAATCTGAAGCGAGTGCATTTTTTTTTGTCAATAAACGATGAAACATGATGTACACATTGCAATAAGAAAAGAAAAGAAACATTATGAAACAAAATAAATTTTAACAACAAATAAACAACTAGCATGAATATCAAAGCAATCACGGATGATCTACATACAGGATATAGAAAAATCACTCTCAAAATATTATTCTCCTCTTAAAACGACAAAAAAAAAGATCCAACAAGCCCAGTCGAAGCTTGCCCACTCAATTTTGGTTGTTTGTAAATTTTAGAGGGGTAAACAGCCGGGTAAACCTCAATGGAGTATTTTACTCCTCAGTTTTCGTTGTTTCTAACCGATCCCTAAATTTAGCGGAGTAAAATTTTGTTTCCCCTAGATAATTCCAATTCTAGTTTACTTAATCCGTTTCAACTACATATTAGCACACATCTTAAAAACCAAACATAATAATTAAGGTTCACGCAGTTCGCGCAGTTCACGGATATTATGAATTCGTAGTTTACAAACTAAGTTATTGAAATTCAAACACACCAAAAGTTTCAAATGAAGTAAATAGCATGATAAAAGCCGCGTCATCTTCAATTGTAATGGTTTGGTTGAATTCAATTGGCCAAAACAAAATGAGACCAAAAAAAACTCACGTAGGCAAACCGTCGAACACTTGCAAGGCGGTGGAGGCGTAACAATCTGCCGGCAACGTTCAGAAGAAATTAGCGGGCGGCGAGGCGGGTTCTAGGAATCATATAATGATATGATGCCAAGTTTCATCCTTTTCTGACAACATTCGATATGTTTTTTTGAAGTGAAGAGCCTTTCGCTCATTTCAATGGCATTCATGTAATGCTTTGAAATTATTGAATCAACCCAGAATAGTCCCGATTTGAGCATGAGACTTTCAATGGTGTATATTCAATGTAGAAAAAGTTTAACGGAGAAATGGTGTATAAATAAAATAATTCTCTTCGTTCGAAACACTGACCCTTCTTGAGAGGCACTTTAGTTTGTACACAAAGTGCATCACGTTTTTCCGGTAACGCCCTCAAATTTTACCACGCCCTAGAGGGGTCACATAATGACATCATGTCAAGTGTCATCCCTTTCAGACCTTATTTGCGCATATATTTTGAATTGAATAGAATTTTTCTCATCTGAACCGCTAGAAATTCAAATAATGCCCTAAAATCGTCAAATCAACCCATAATTGTCCTAAATTTGACCATGGGACATAAAAAATTATCAAATAAATGATGTATAAAGAAAATATTTCTCTATGAAAGTCAACTCTTTACATTCGAAAACCCTGATACTTCACAAAAAGCTCTTCAATTTGTACACCAAGTGCGTCAAGTTTCCCCCCTAATCTCTAAAAAATTTACGACATCTTATGTGGATCATGTGATGACAACATGCCAAGTTTCATTCTTTTCATACCTCATTTGCATATATTTTCGAATTGAACTTCATTTTGCTCATTTTGATGGCTAGAAATTCATATACTGCTCTAAAATTGTCAAATCAACTCAAAATAGTTGGAAATTTGAGCATGGGACTTTCATTGGTATATATTCAACATTGCAAAAGTTGACAGTTTCCGTTAGAAACTCTGATATTTCAAGAGAGACTCTTCAATTTGTACACGAAGTGCATCATGTTTTTCCTGTAATGATCTCAAATTTTGACCACATACTATAGGGGTCACGTTATGACACCATTCCAAGTTTCATTCTTTTCAGTCCTCAGAGTTGTATCGTGTTTTAATCATAGAGCAGTTTGCTCATTTTATTGGCTAGACATTCATTTAATACTTTAAAAATAATAAATTAACTCAAAAAATGGCAATAGTTTGACATGACTGTACTTACGTACTAAATTCAACCCCACAAAAAATGAAAACAAAAATATACCCATAAAACAAAAATAGCTCGATAAGGTTTTTTTGCACAAATACAAATCAGTGGCGGGCGCCAGAAAACGCCCACCACTACTAAGTTGTTACATGTGGTGGCACTTGTTTGGGCCCGTCAGTGGTGGTCATGAGTCCAATTTTTGTGATGATTTGCACATTTTATTTCATTCCATAGTATAAGATTTTTTAGACTTTACTGCATTCGTGTACTTCTTTTTGTATGCAATCGCCAGGATATCATATACGGGAATAATCTAGAACATTAAGGAAAGAACTCAATTTATGGTGATAAAATCATGTTAATTATCTTGATAAAACACTGCCATAAAAAAGGGTGAAACAAATCGGAGAAGAAAAAGCTCATACAAATCCTCCAAAGCGAAAGACGGCGTATGCTACGAGCACATGTGCTCGTACTAGCGGTCGTACCGCCTGCCGCCGCCTCCGCGTCGTCAACTACTTCACCCCCGTGCAGATGGATTGAAGATCAAAGATGTCACGGAACCAGAAAACAGATCCAGAACGAAGAACTCTAGCCTCTGAAGGATTCTAGAGGGGGGTTGATTCAGGGTCTCCACCGCCACATCACCACATTGAAAGGGCATCATCACCATCCAGCTTCATCATCACCACTTCATCTCCATCTCTTTGTAGTACATTAGTTGGTGTGGATTCACACTCATATTACTTTAACGCTACCACCATATTTATCATGATTCATCCTGCGATGTTTGTACTCTTGATGTGCGAGTAGTTACCCCAATTCTCGGGCATATGGAGGAACCTTAGTAGGCTTACGATTGTATGATAATATGATTTGGTATCCTCTTTATATGTTTATATTAGTGATCTTCTTGATATTGAGTGAAGTCGACCATCCAACATATGCCTCTATCGGTGTCAAAACCGGCGGATCTTGGGTAGGGGGTCCCGAACTGTGCGTCTAGGCCGGATGGTAACATGAGGCAGGGGACACGATGTTTTACCCAGGTTCGGGCCCTCTTGATGGAGGTAAAACCCTACGTCCTGCTTGATTAATATTGATGATATGGGTAGTACAAGAGTAGATCTACCACGAGATCAGAGAGGCTAAACCCTAGAAGCTAGCCTATGGTATGATTGTATGTTATGGTTGTTATCCTACGGACTAAAACCCTTCGGTTTATATAGACACTGGAGAGGGTTAGGGTTACACAAGGTCGGTTACAAAGGAGGAGATATCCATATCCGTACTGCCTAGCTTGCCTTCCACGCCAAGTAGAGTCCCAGCCGGACACGAGACGAAGTCTTCAATCTTGTATCTTCATAGTCTAATAGTCCGGCCAATGGAGATAGTCCGGCTGTCGGAGACCCCCTAATCCAGGACTCCCTCAGTAGCCCCTGAACCAGGCTTCAATGACGATGAGTCCAGCGCGCAGTATTGTCTTCGGCATTGCAAGGCGGGTTCCTTCTCCGTATACACCGCAGAAGAATTTGAATACGAGGATAGTGTCTGACCCTGCAAAATAAGTTCCACATTCCACCATAGAGAGAATAATATTTTCGCAGATCTAATTTGCTGGCTTGTTTTGGCAACATGACGTTATGTCACGGCCCGAAGATTATTCAAACCGTTTCTTTTAACCAGCCCCACGCATAACGCGAGGGAGTTTTTCGACACGTCTTGTCAAAGTAGAGATCGTGTCCCCTTATTACGGGATTCTCATCAATACGGGCGTGGGTAACCCAACCGCGCCATCAATTGCGGCACTTGGGAGATAAGTGAGTTTTACCAGGCAAGTGGGGACGCTTAGTTTCGTCCGCCCATATAAAGGGATAAGGATTCACCTTTATATCCACGCCTTCTTCCTCCCTTACCCATCCGTTTTCGCACACTCGAGCTCTAGCGCCCAAGTCCGCACATCCCACCTTGACCTTCTCCAATCATGTCCGGAGCGGGAGGCAAGTGGATGCTCTCCTCCGTCACGGAGGGAGACATCAAGAAACTGAGGAGAGCCGGATACCTGCCCGACGACATCGCGCACCGGCTCCCAGATGAGAGGCAGCTCATCCCCACCCCCGGGCCCCATGAGAGGGTAGTATTCCTCACCCATTTCCTCCGCGGACTAGGGTTTCCTCTCCATCCCTTCGTCCGGGGCTCATGTTTTATTACGGCCTGTATTTCCATGATTTGGCCCCGAACTTCATCCTCAACATCTCGGCGTTTATCGTCGTGTGCGAGGCCTTCCTCCGCATCAAGCCCCACTTTGGCTTATGGCTGAAGACCTTCAATGTCAATCCGAAGGTGGTGGGCGGCCGCCAGGCGGAGTGCGGAGGCGCCATGGTGGGAAAGATGCCCAACATAGCATGGCTCGAGGGCTCCTTTGTGGAAACCATAAAGGGGTGGCAATCGGGGTGGTTCTATATCACCGAGCCGCGCGACCCCGCATGGGTAGCGGCCCCCGAGTTCCGATCTGGCATCCCCATGAGGCTCACCTCCTGGAAAGAGAAGGGCATGTCCTGGGGTAATTCGAAAGAGCTGACCAGACTCCAAACATGTATTCAAAACATGGTGGACAAGAAGCTCAAGCTTGTCAACATAGTCCAAATTATGCTCATCCACCGGATACTCCCGTGCC